AAATAAAGGTTAGGGTCAGGTCAGGGTTTGGTTAGGGGTTAGGTTGGATTCAGAATATTTTGCCCAGCTGTGATGTGACAGCAGGGTGTGGGTTAAGGAGCTGCTGGGAGGTGGTCGGTGCAGGGGCGGTGTGTTGGAGGCTGCTGAGGTGGCCGGGTGGCAGGGGCGTGTGTTAAGGGCTGGGAGGGTGGTTGCAGCAGGGGCGGGTGGGGTTAAGGGCGCCTGGGAGGGTGGCTGTAGCAGGGCGGTGGGTTGGGGCTGCTGGGAGGGTGGTCGGCAAGGAGCGTGGGGTTAAGGGCTGCTGGGAGGAGGTCGGAGGTGCAGGGGCGGTGGGTTAGGCGGCTGGAGGATCGGAGGTGGCAGGGCGGTGTGGGGTTAGGGCATGAGGGAGGCTAGCAAGGGGGGTTATGTCACAGAGGGAGGTCAGGAGGTAGCAGGGTGTGGGTTAAGGGGCTGCTGGAGGAGGTCGAGGTGTAGCAGGGGGTTAAGGGCATGGGAGGAGGCTGGAGGTAGCAGGGTGGGGTGTTGGCGGCGCACAAGGGAGGTCGGAGGTGTAGCAGGGCGGGTGAAGAGGAAGTGAGGGGAGGTCGGAGGTGTAAGGGGCGGTGGGATTAAGGGCGGCTGGGAGGGGAGGTCGGAGGCAGGGGGGGTGGGGTTAGGGCGGCTGGGAGGGAGGTCGGAGGTGTAGCAGGCGGTGTGGGGCATATGGCCAGAGGGAGGTGAGGTGCAGTGGGGTGTGGGTTAGGCGGCTGGGAGGGTGGTCTGAGGCAGGGGGGCGGGGTGGGGTTAAATGCTGGAGGGAGGTCGGAGGTGTAGCAGGGTGGAAGGGTGGGCGGCTGGAGGGAGAGGTCGGAGGTAGCAGGGGGGTTAAGGGCGGCTGGGAGGAGGTCGGAGGTAGCAGGGCAAAGGAGCAGGCTGGGAGGGAGGTCGGAGGGGCAGAGGGCGGGTGGTTGGCGGCTGGGAGGTCGAGGTAGCAGGGGCAGGTGTGGGTTAAGGGCCTGGGAGGGGAGGTCGGAGGTGGTGGGGTGGTGTGGGTTGGCTGCTGGAGGGAGGTCGGAGGTAGCAGGGGCGGGTGTGGGTTAGGGCGGCTGGGAGGAGGTCGGAGGTGTAGCAGGGCAGGTGTGGGAAGGGCGGCTGGAGGAGGCAGGAGGTATAGCAGGGGCGGGTGGGTAGGGCGGCTGGGAGGGAGGCGGAGGTGCAGAGGGGCGGGCGTCATCAGGCGCGTGACCGAGTTGTCCTGCCATCATCTTTAAGCATGACAGACCCCTCCTCCCCTCCCCTGTGCAGCTAACACCCCCATACCCCATCTCCTCACCCCACCCCCCGCAACCTTCGCATACCTGTGTCACCTTTGTCTTGAACACCTGTGTGTGGCACTAGCACAGGTGACAGTGACACAGGCACCTCCAGAATGAGCCCCCATGAGTGCCACTTCCCCTGTACCAACTCCTTGCTATCGATTCCGGGCTCTCGGCCACAATCAATACTAACGCCTGACGTATGACGTTCACTCTTACTCCTCCCTCATACTCTCTCTTCCCTTCCTCCTTTTTGCTCTATTTACTCCTTGTTGTAGTGTACGTGAATGGCAATGGGTGTATGTTAGAGTAAGAGGGAGTAGATAATTGGAGTTTAGTTGATGAGTAAAGGTTGGGGGAGGGATGGGAGGGATTGGAGGAATGGGAGGGAGGGGTAGTGAGGCAGAGCAGTGCAGTACGACACTCTGGGCCGGGATAGCCAAGCATCCTGCAAGAGCTCCAGCATCCAGCCGGGAGAGACGTGCACACACATCTCCCCACCGATACAAGTTGGTATATTTCAATCAGTGACTATCCGTGAACTACCGCATCTGTTTGTGAGTGTCAGAAGGTGTTGTTTGTGCGTGTATGTGTGTATAGTAAGGCCCTTAAATGACTGTTAAGACGCTACGAGGCCACCATAAATGTCCACAGACACTCGTACATCTAAAGGTATACTCCAGACGTCAGGGTCAAAATTAGACATTGCGCAGAATGTTTTGATTCATCTGTTGTGACCAAGAGCTGATGGTGGTGGTGGTGACGTGGCCTCATGTCAGGGCGGAGGAACCAGCCCCTGGCACCGATATAATCTACGGAAAAATATGAAGTCTCTATCATATGTGTGTGTAGAAAAATATTGGATATCACATTGGATATTTTCTACGAGTGAGAATATGTAAAGTATTGATGGTGAAGATTTTAGTGACCGAGTTACTGTGTGAAGACGGTGTGAGCCCAGTGAGCCCAGCGTGAGCCCAGCATGAGCCTAGTGAGAACACGCCCAGTGTGAGCCCATTGAGCCCATCGACCTCAATGACCCAACCAGACGATCAAAGCTCACAAACAAACTCATTGATGTGAAATACAATATTGTGGGAAACTACGTGTGTGTGTGTGTGTGTGTGTGTAAGTCTAAACACACACACACACACACACACGAGTCATGATTCAGGTAAAGAAAAGCATTGTCATCAAGACGTCGTTTCATGACTGTGTGCGTTGGTGTACGTCAAAGATGTATACAGTTAGTGTATGTGAAAAATGTAGGTCGCAGGTGCTCTACTATTACTACTACTAATACTACTACTATTATTTTTATCCAACTACTAAAGTACTACTATCGTTATCATTATTATTAAACTATTACTACTATCAGTATCCCACATAATAATAATAATAATAATAATAATAATAATAATAATAATAATAATAATATAAAAAATAATAGTAATAAAACTCTCACAACATTGATAATTAATTCAGGGTGTGACTCCAAGAAACCTAACAGTCTCAAGAGGTCGTAGGAGAGGAGAACAAGGTGTGGGTGGGCCAATATTTTCACTTGCCAAATATCTTTAATAATTTTTCTTACACTCCCATTATTATCCGTTTCTTTCCACTCTTCCTCTTTATTGTGTGTATGTGTGTGTCTCCTTTATTTATCTTGTATTATGGTTTATGTCTTGAGTTTTGATAATAATAATAATAATAATAATAATAATAATAATAATAATAATAATAATAATAATAATAATAATAATAATAATAATAATAATAATAATAATAATCATAGTAATAATACCTTATGTAAAAGTAAATCAAGAACAACAAAATACATAAAAAAAAAAAAAAAATTCTTCAATAGCGATTTTTTTCTTAAATATATAACTTACATTTCTCCCCGCCAAAAAATATTGTTGGAACAGCGACCATACATATAAATATTTGTCTTAATCACATCACAACAACGAAACAAATACTAAAAAAGAATTACATTTATGGATACAAAATTTCCGTATATAATATATATTTTTTTGTGTTATTAAATGAACTTCAAAAATATTACGATAAGTGAAAATATCCGAGTTTTTTCAATATAAATATCAAACAATAATATGAAGTCTTTTAAAAGCACAACAACAGATTGGGGCGAGCAATAGTACACACTGTATATAACTTTTATTAAGGGGTCATTAAATTTGTACATTTTAGTAGTGATTATATATATATATATATTTAAACGGTAAAAGGGGTAAGTTGACATATATTGATGGGTGAGGCAGTTAGTGTATGTGGTGGTGATGGTGATGATGGTGTAGTGTTTATGGTGGGGATGGTGATGGTGTAGTGTTTATGGTGGGGATGGTGATGGTGTAGTGTTTGTGGTGGTGATGGTGATGATGGTGTAGTGTTTATGGTGGGGATGGTGATGGTGTAGTGTTTATGGTGGGGATGGTGATGGTGTAGTGTTTATGGTGGGGATGGTGATGGTGTAGTGTTTATGGTGCAGGGGATGATGGTGTAGTGTTTACAGGTGGGGATGGTGATGGTGTAGTGTTTATGGTGGGATGGTGATGGTGTAGTGTTTATGGTGGGGGATGGTGATGGTGTAGTGTTTATGGTGGGGGATGGTGATGAATTAGTGTTTATGAGTGGGGGATGAGGTGATGGTGTAGTGTATGTGGTGTTGGTGATGGTGTGATGGTGTAGTGTTTATGGTGAGGATGGTGATGGTGTAGTGTTTATGGTGGGGATGGTGATGGTGTAGTGTTTGTGGTGGTGACGGTGATGATGGTGTGAGTGTTTATGGTGGGGGATGGTGATGGTGTAGTGTTTATATGGGTGGGGATGGTGATGGTGTAGTGTTTATGGTGGGATGGTGATGGTGTAAGTGTTTATGGTGATGGTGATGGTTAGTGTTTATGATGGTGATGGTGTAGTGTTTATGGTGGGGATATTGTAGTGTTTGGTGGTGATGGTGATGATGGTGTAGTGTTTGTGGTGGTGATCGTGATGATGGTGTAGTATTTGTGGTGATGGTGATGATGGTGTAGTATTTGTGGTGATGGTGATGATGGTGTAGTATTTGTGGTGATGGTGATGATGGTGCACTGTAGTATTTGTGGTGATGATGGTGTAGTGGTGGTGGTGGTGGTGGTGGTGGTGGTGATGATGATGATGATGATGATGATGATGATGATGATGATGATGATGATGATGATGATGATTATGATGATGATGATAGTGATGATGGTGTAGTGTTTGTGAGGGTGATGGTGTAGTGTTTGTGGTGGTGATAGTGATGATGGTGTAGTGTTTGTGAGGGTGATGGTGTAGTGTTTGTGGGAGTGATGGTGTATTGTTTGTGATGATGATGATGATGATGATGTAGTGTTTGTGGTGGTGATGGTGCATTGTTTGTGGTGAGGATAGTGATGATGGTGTAGTGTTTGTGAGGGTGATGGTGTAGTGTTTGTGGGAGTGATGGTGTATTGTTTGTGGTAATGATAGTGATGATGGTGTAGTGAATTGGTGATAAAGATGACTTTAATATTAATGGTGATGGAGGTTATCACATACAGTATATGATAGAGTCTATATATATCTTTCATTCCCTCAAAGTTTCTTCATTCATTCATTTGCATATCCCTCATTTGCATATTATCCATTTGCATATTAATCTTTCACAAACAGTAGTAAGGAGGCAGCGTAGCGGCTCGTGAACTCATTTGACGCTGTGCCAAGATACTCAAACAAACATTCCCTTTCCATTTGTGGGAGCGAATCTATATGACAGTGTTGTTGAGTATCTTCGTGTGTCCGTTTGTGTCTACAGTACAGTAAGTTCTGCTCACGGGCTCCTAGAAGTACTTGACGTGTGGGGTGATGATGCCCCAGCGTGAGGAATGTATCTGACCCTCTCAGTGCTGAAAGTTTTATCTACGCTGAATTCGTCTAGCGGTACCCAGCATAAAGTCTTAATGTGTCGAGAGAACTAAATGATTTTGGGTGGATATCCTAAGCCCACCAGCCTCATTATACCTGAACATGGAGCCTGAGCGTTGTCTCTAACTTGGTAGTGTTGGGGTTGACAAGAGGAGGTCAAGACTACTCTGACCATATGACAGGTACGATAACTTGTGTTAGTAATGTACTGAGAGAATTTCCAAATAATATTTTTAGTAACCAATAATTATATTTTAATATTTGGTGTTGATCTCTTAAATATTTCTGTATATTGATAATTGATATGTTTTCATGTAGATAAACGAATCGGTGGACTTGATAAATAAAACATAAAAATATGAACATTGCTCTTAGTGGACAGATGGTAGTGAATGAAACACGTCAGGGATAAAGCTCCATCTCTTTGTCGTGTTTCCTTCACTACCCAAACATAAAACATAAATCATTATTAGTGTTAAAGGCAAAGATGTGTGACTAGAGAGTGACACTGTCTCAAGGTGTGTGGGAGAGACAGCTGTGAAGGAGTGTGTTGGGTTGTGTGGTGCTTAAGGTTCTGTATTGTTGACATTCGGTGGAGTAACGAGTAGAGTGATCGCTCTAACACAGGGGAGGTGACGGTGTGAGGTCATGGAAACAAGTGACCTACCAATGACCCGGTCCACTTCTATCAAATGGACCAATAAGAACTGTTCTTCGTGCGCACTTTGTTTACCTGTGAGGCTGACTCAGACAATCCAACATCTGAGGACGTCTCTTCACAGTGAGGATCATCACATAGTGTAGTGTAGACTGTGTAAATGAATGACACAAACACTTACTTATGTTTTGTCAACAATTATGGTGTAAACATGAGGGTTATAACATGTTGTTATGGTACATTACTACCCTAGCAACAGGTCTGCTTGTCTGAGCCACCATGGTTGTTATGGTACATTACTACCCTAGCAACCAGTCTGCTTGTCTGAGCCACCATGGTTGTTATGGTACATTACTACCCTAGCAACCAGTCTGCTTGTCTGAGCCACCGTGGTTGTTATGGTACATTACTACCCTAGCAACCAGTCTGCTTGTCTGAGCCACCACGATGGCTGGAGGCAAAAGTAACTGGGAGAATCAGAGTGTAGTGGTGGTCCATAACCATTAATATAACCGTGTAATAAGGAAGAGCACGATATTAAACCCTGGTTATAGTGGCAAGAGAAGCTGAAAGTGGAAACAGAATTGACGATAGAGCGTGCAACTCCCACCCGGATGTTTTTAAAGGATGCCAAAGGAAATTACAACGAGAATACTTAACATGGAGTGAGGCATTTATTGTAAAAGAGAGACACAGTTTTTCCTCAAATGCGAACAGCTATCATAACATAAAGAGGAATAAGTAATGGAAAGGAAAGTAGTGTGTGTGTGTGTGTGTGTGTGTGTGTGTGTGTGTGTGTGTGTGTGTGTGTGTCAGGGGAGAGGCGGAGGTTAGGTTATGTTAGGTTAGATTAGGTTTCTTTATTACTCTCCACCATATTTACTGCCACACCTATCATGTTCTCCCCGAATGAAAGTTGGTCTCACAGGTATTAAGTCTCATTAAGAGCAGTCCTGACACAGTACACTGTATAACTAACACTGTACTCGACTATCTTTTCTTCCTCAACTGCAAAGCTAAGTACCTATACGCAGATAAGCAAATACCCACAAAGCTAAGTATATACCCATACAGGCTCAGTAAGTACCCATACAAAGCTTAGCAAAATACCCATCAAAGCTAAGTACCCATACAAACCTAAGCAAAATACCCATCAAAGCTAAGTAAGTACCTATCAAAGCTAAGTAAATACCCATCAAAGCTAAGTACCCATACAAAGCTAGGTCGACTGGGTGTGTCCTAGACGTGAACCAGTAACACTTAGGACGGGAGGTGAGTGAGCTGTATCCACTTGACCACTATACACATCCCCCTCACCCTCCCAATAAGCTTTTATAAAACCTTTCCTTTCGCTAGATCTCATTTTTTTTGTCTATTCTTTTCCATATTATTTTCTTCTCTCTCATTCTCTCTCCATTATGCTCTTAATATTCTTTCACTTATTTTTTTTTTTTCCATTCCCAGTTTTTCTTCTTGTCTCACCCTGTTTCTATTTTTGATCTGTCTTTGATACAGTTTCCCCTACGTCTGTTTTCGTTTTCTCTCTCATCTGTTTTATAATATGTATTTTTAATGTGTTTTATTCTATTGTGATTCTTATCGTTATTCTTGTAGGTTTTTTTTAATTGTCTTATTTTTTTTTTACCTGTTTACTTTTATTCCTCGTTCGTGATTTATTTTTTTCTATCTCTCTCTCTTTTCGCTTTTTCTTTTCGTTTCTGTCCTTATGTCTGCCTGTCTGCCTCTCTTTTTTTCTCTATCTGGCTATTTATCTTGTTATTTTAATCATTCTTTAATTCTATCTATTCTACCCACACTCTTCCTTCCTCGTCGTCTCGCCTTCCCTTCATTTTTCAGTTTTTCCTCTTTATTCCTCCTTCCTTCCCCCCTTTTTCCTCTTTTCTCCTCCTTCCTTCCCCCTTCTTCCTCTTTGTTCCTCCTTCTTTCCCTCCCTTCTTCTTCTTTATTCTTCCTTCCTTCCGTCCCTTCCTCTTTATCCCTTTCTTCTTCCCCATTATTTTTCCTCTACCTTCCTTCCCTCCCTTCTTCTCTTCCGTATCTCTTCTTCCTCGTCTCACCTTTCTCTCATTATTCCTTCCTTCCTTCCTTCCTCCTTTCCCACCTCTTTCTTTTCCATCCCCGGTACACTATTAATATTGCTAACCCATTACATCCTAACACACACACACACACACACACACACACACACAAGGTTGCGTACACTTGACATTTCAAAGGTACAGGTAAGCCTTTCAGAATTCTCAGGTAAATCAATTTAAGGTCAGCTCTTGTCTCACTAATAGGATGTTACTCTTAATATGTGTTAAACGTGTATGAAGATTACTAACTGTATGGAGTATGCTATCTATGTGTGAATTATTTGTATCAATGTGTAACTTAAGATACATACATGGATGAAGATAGATAGATAGATAGATAGATAGATAGATAGATAGATAGATAGATAGATAGATAGATATTTACTATATATATATTTTTTCCCAAGGGTATATTTTAAGGGTAAAAGTTATATATTGAAATAGAACGTTAGTTTGAATGTTATTATATGTATGAATTGAACATATGGTAGTTGTTCTGCTGAGTGCTCTGGTGGAGAGAGAGAGAGAGAGAGAGAGAGAGAGAGAGAGAGAGAGAGAGAGAGAGAGAGAGAGAGAGAGAGAGAGAGAGAGAGAGAGAGAGAGAGACTACAAACGTAAACAAAAGGTGACGTCACGACAGACCACGAACCCCAACAAGAACAAGAAAAATACCGCCAAACAGCATCTACTTAACAAGTTTATTAGAAGACTACAGCTCAAGGACAATGACCATTATGACGTGGAAGCTGTGCACAGCCTCTATAGTAGCGGGGAGAAATAACAATAATATATTTGAATCTTCGTAAATCCACCGTTTAGTCTGAGCGGCTACGAACACTTCCATGTACAACACACCATCATGTACACACCATCATGTACACACCATTATGTACACACCATCATGTACACACCCTCATATGCACACCCTCATATACACACCCTCATGTACACACCATTATGTACACACCATCACGTACACACCCTCATATACACACCCTCATATACACACCCTCATGTACACACCATCATGTACACACCATCACGTACACACCCTCATATACACACCCTCAAATACACACCCTCATGTACACACCCTCATGTACACACCCTCATGTACACACCCTCATATACACACCCTCATATACACACCCTCATGTACACACCATCATGTACACACCATCATACACCATAATACACACCCTCATGTACACCTCATACACCCTCATACACACCATCATACACCCTCATACACACCTTCATATACCCTGTACACCTCATGTACACCTCATATACACACCCTCATGTACACATCATGCACACCTCATGTACACACCTCATGTACACACCCTCATGTACACACCTCTATACACACCTCATGTACACACCCTGTCCCTCATGTACACACCCTCATGTACACACCCTCATGTCCACACCTCATGTACACACCCTCATGTACCCTCATGTACACACACCCTCATATACACACCCTCATGTACACACACCCTCATGTACACACCCTCATGTACACACCCTCATGTACACACCCTCATATACACACCTCTGTACACACTATTACACACCCTCAAACACACCCTCATGTACACCTCATGTACACACCATCATGTACACTCCATACACCCTCATATACACACCCTCAAGACACACCCTCATGCACACACCCTCATATACACACACCCTCATGTACACACCCTCATTACCACCCTCATATACACACCCTCATGTACACCATCATATACACACCCTCATGTACACACCATCATATACACCTCATGTACACCCTCATGTACACCCTCATATACACCTATATACACACCCTCCATATACACACCCTCATGTACACCCTCATGTACACACCTCATGTACACACCCTCATACACACCCTCATATACACACCCTCATGTACACCATCATATACACCTCATGTACACACCATCATATCCTCATGTACACACCATCATATACACACCCTCATGTACACACCATCATATACACACCCTCATGTACACACCATCATATACACACCCTCATGTACACACCATCATATACACACCCTCATGTACACACGTCAGACCAGGAACTTAATCTAACAGTCAGTAAATTTTTTTTGACGTAAATCCCAACCTGTCGTAACCATTTCCTGAGTTCAATAAATACGACAAAAATATCATCACACCATCAGGGAAATGCCTTTACCTGATTGATTAATAGAGTAATTAGTATTTAGTTAGACGTTGAGAGCCAGGCCGTGTAGGAGTTACGATTTTCACTTCATTCCCAGAAATAACTTCATTTTCTCCACCTCAAACCTGGGTTGTGGGAGGGGTGAGAGAGGAGAGGAGGGGGAGGAGGAAATCAAGAAGGAAGGTGAGAGATGCAGGAATGAAGAGGCATACAGTAGAAGCAA